GGCCTCTGTTCAGCAGCTCAGATGCCGAGGACTGCGAGGTGCAAGAGCTCATGGCGCCGGCTTTAAGCAAACCGTCGCTGCCGGAGCCAGCGTCATCCTCCCCTATGCAACTGCAGCCCCAGTCCCCCGACGGTGGCTCCCGCTGGGCCACCTATCTGGAGCTGCGGCCCGGTGGGCCAAGTCCTGTGGCCTCAGCGCAGTTCGAGTGTGTGGAGGTGGCGCTGGAGGAGGAGCACACCGCTCCAAGCAGGCCCAGGACCGTGCCGAAGCGTCAGATCGAGCTTCGCCCCCGGCCCCCAAGTCCCTCGAGAACGGCTGGCGCGCCGCGCCCCCCACTGTTCCTGCGCACTGGCTCCCTAGACGAGTCAATGGGACGCCTGCAGGCCGCTGCAGGCCTAGTGCAGACAGCATTGGCCAGAAAAATGGGTCCCACTGCCCCGGAGCCAAGCAGCACCACCTTTCGGCCCACTGAGCGGCCAAAACCTGAGACTCGGGAAACGTCCGGCAGCACCCACGTGGTCCTGGAAGAGGCTAAGTCTCGGCTACTTCGAGATCAAGATAATCTGGTCCGGGCGAGAGCCCCGCGGCCTTGGCCCAGCCTACGGGAGCGCGCGATTCGGCGCGACAAGCCCATGCCCGGCACCGAGCCTTTGGGTCCTGTTAGTTCCAGTATCTTCCTGCAATCGGAGGAAAAGATCCAGGAGGCACGAAACCAGGAACCCAAGACTCGGTTCCCACGAGAGACCCCGAATCGAACCTTTCTTAGGGCACATAGTCCACCTTTTAAGTCTAGGGACCCCTCGGAAATTCCGAGTAGGTCTGTGAGGCCAAGGAGCCCTTCTCCATTGTGGCAGGCTCCAAATGGGGCCGAGCGGGGTCCTCACTGCCCGTCCCCACGGGATCAGACTGAACGGAGGGTGAGTAGCCCGTCTTTCCCTGAAGCATCGTCTGCTTGGGAAAATCAGAATCCCTCTGTGGAGGAAACTTCCAGCAGGAGGACCCCTTCCCCTCCAACTCTTTCCCACTGGAATCAGGGTGCTCCTGGAGTAAGGAGCTCACCCCCTGAAGTTCCTTCCCTGTGGGACGCTCCGCAACCAGCAGTAGGAGAGGCTGTAGGGCCGGGTACAAGCCGGTCTTCGTTGGCCTTGTTCCCTTGGGAGGCGGAAGATCGTGCTGTTGGAATGCGGAGCCCATCGCCCCAAGGGACAGGGGGTCCCATGGTCCAGGGCTCGTCGACAGCGTTTACGCGGGAAGCTATGAATGGTGTAGCTGAGGAGTTGGCACCGCCTACACCAGCCGCACCCGGGACTCCAGAACTTACGGAGGTGCAGAGCACCCCCACGCGAGAGAGTCCGAATCTTGTCCTCACAAGCACCGAGCCATCGCCAAAGACAGAGGCCCCTGAGCCGCCCCTGAGCAGTCACGTCGTGAGGACCCTGGACGCTGATGTGCGCCCAGAAGCTTTGTACTCTGAAGTGGCCTCTGGACGCTCACGCGTGGCTGTTCCGCGGCCGCGAGATGTGCGCAAGATAGTTAAGACCACGTACGCTCCAAGCTTCCCATCCGGAAGCCCAAGCTCAGGGCTACCTGGGCCTCCTTCGGATTCTAGCGGGGAGGAGGGCGATGCATCAAAGACGCCAGAGCATCAGGTGCTGGGGTCCCCCGCACCAGCTCACTACACTTCCGTTTTTCTCAAGGATTTTCTGCCGGTCGTGCAGCACCCCTACGAGTCCCCTGAGCCATCCCACGACACAGTCCCACGGGACGCCTCGCAGCCCAACGGGGTCTTGCGGCGGAGGGCAGAGAACAGCACAGCCAAACCCTTCGCGCGCACTGAAATCCGCTTGCCTGGTGCTTTGGCCTTAGGCGGGCGGCCAGAGAGGATCTCGAGAGTCCTAGTCCGCAGTCCGGGCGGAGAGAATCCGGACGCCAAAACACAGCGCCTGGTTCCCGACGGCGAGGGTCGGACCAGTCCCCTAGGCGGCGCTCGCAGCTCACCCCAGCGGTCCTCTTTAGGACCCTCAGTGACGCGACTATCCTGCCCCGGCTCCCCTCAGGCATGCCCTAACTCGAGCCCTGGGATTGCACCCAAACTAGAGGCCCCTGCTGCGACCCCCGAATCCGCAGCTTCCCCCGCTCTGCGGGAGTCCCAGGCGTTGGCCAGCATGACAGCTCGGCCCCAGCCCCGCGCTGCTTCTGCACCTCCCACGGACCGGTCCCCTCAAGGCCTCTCCCAGGCAATGCTCAGGCCTCTGGGAGCCACGCACCCGGGGAAGGTCCTGGTGGACCCAGAGACCGGCCGCTACTACTTTGTGGAGGCGCCGCGGCAGCCGAGGCTGCGGCTGCTCTTCGACCCCGAGAGCGGGCAGTATGTGGAGGTGCTGCTACCGCACTCATCCCCCAGGCAGCCCAGCCACATCTACACCCCGCTATCCCTGGGGCCTGGCCTCTACCCGCCTGCCTATGGGTCTATTCCTGGCCTCTCACTCCCGCCATCCTCGGGCCTACCTGCCCTCAGCAGCTCCCAGCTGCCCTGGGCCTCTGAGGCAGGACCCCTGGACGGGATGTACTACCTCCCCATGAGCGGGACTCCCAGTCCCGCTCCATCTCTGCTCCTCTGTGCCCCACCTGCCCGCTCGGATCATCCCACCCAGCCTAGCAAGGGCTCTGTGTTCCCGTTGTGAGGCCTTAGGGCCTGATCCACGTGGAGTTGAGGCCCCCTAAATGGTCTAGAGTTTCTGGCTTCCAATTCCCTGACCTTTCCTTCCATCACCTTTTTTGGTCTGTTCCAGCCAGTCTTCAGGCCAGAAGTCATTTTCAAAGAAGGTATGTGAGACCCCCGGTTGATGGAGCTGGAGTTCAGGAGGTAGCTGGCTTCTTCCTACCCCAACAAAAATGTATATCCCTTTCCCACCGCATTCCCAGAGTGTGGCGTGTTTGTGTATGTGTTTATGTTGGCAAGGAATGGGAGGAAACCAGCCTGAGGGGGTGTTCCCAAAGGGCAGTGGGAATGGGATGTGCAGGAACAGGGTGGTCTCCAGAGGTGGTGAGCTGTCTGTCCTCTCCTGAAAATGGGCCTAGTTGATGTGGAGCAGGCCAGTGAGCACTGTTCAGATGAAGAGGAAGGACTCTAGTCATCAAGTCTGTTTTTTGGAAAAGTAGCTGAGCTTTGGTCTGGGAGGCTGTAGGGGAAAGTGGCTAGCGCAGCCCCAGGCCAAGTTGGAACTAAGAAAGGGAGCTGTGCAGGCAGCAGGTGGAGGTGGAGTGAGCAAGCAATGTGGGGGGGGAGTATGGGGAGTCAGCCTGGAATTGGGGGTGAAAAGGCTAGAGTGAGGTAGGTCCAGGTGGCTGTGGCCCTCATTGGGAAGCCTAGCTTTTCCTTCCTCCCCTCAACTCCAGTCTCTGGTTCTCAGAGCCCTGGGAGCTGAGCTGGCTCATCTTAGGAGTGCAGGCATCAGCCATTTCCACTCAGGTAAGAACAGGTAAAATAAATCACCAAGGATTTACAAAGCTGGATGCAAAAGTTCAAGACCAGCCTCAGCAAATTAGTGAGACACTGTCTCAAAATAAATAAATTTGGGGGCTGGGGATATAGCTCAGTTGGTAGAGTGCTTGCCTCACATGCATGAGGTCTTGGGTTCAATCCCCAGCACCACAAAAATAAATAAATAAATTTTTTAAAAGGGCTGGGGATGTAGGTGAGTGCTAAAGGTTAAGTGCCCCTAGGTTCCATCCCCAACACAGAAAAAATAAAAATAAAAAAACTTACAAGAGGAGGAAATTGGGCTGTTGGCTTCCAGGGGAGGCTTTGACCCCTCTGAGTGGCTGGAAGGTGGGTTTGGGCTGGCAGTAGGAGGGGTGGGCCCTGTGTGAAGTAGACTGGAGAGGACAAAATTCTCAGTTTTTATCACACATGTGATAACAGTGCCCAGAGAGGAGCGGGATGGTCATAGCACAGGAAAGGACAGGACCCAGAACCTGTGCTCCAACTGTCCTGAGATTCTAGGAGCTTCTGAGAGATTCTAAGAGCCTCTGAGGAGGCTGAAGGAGCTGGAGGGGGTGTGTGTGTGTATGCCTGGGGGTCTGTGTGTGGTTCCGGAGCCTGAAATGACTGGGGTGTGAAGTGATGTGTTTGGGAAAAACAGTTCCCATTAGAAACAGTGTCAGAGACGGGAATCAATGCCTTCCTTGTTACCGACCTTGGGGCCCATGTTCCTTGTGTTCCGGTCCCTTGCCCTGGACTGGAAGCCGACTAGGTGAACTTTGAGTCAGAATAACCTGGACAGCTCTTGGCCAAGGACATGGGTCCTGATGGTATGGAAAACCTTGGGTCCCAGCCCACCTCTGGGCACCTTGCCTCATCCTGTTGTGCAATAAATAGCTGACCATGAGCCATGGTGGCTGAAATGATGATTGGTGTAAGGTGCCTAATTTCCTTCTTGGGCTTCTTAAGACCTTCCACAATGTCCTTTCGTGCCTAGGTCTGCCCTAGGTTGAGGGGAACCCAGGGTTATGGAAGGACACATGCCTTTACACACTCTGACCTCCCTGCCTGGATGAACTTGCCTCCCAGGAAGGGAAACCTAAGTTGGCAACCACCCTTATGGCCACATTCATCTCAGTGGCTGAGGGGCCAGTGGACTTTGGAAGTCAATCAGGCTTGGATTCCAATCTCAACATGGCCTCTCTAGCTGGAGGATTTGTCACTTCTCTATGAGCTTTCATGTTAAAGAATAAAGATGACAGTAATCAACTACTTCCTCATGCAAGTGCCTGCCACTTGACCAGATCCCAGCGTGAGGTTGCAGCCAACCCCTACCTGTCCTTGAACAGACACAGCCCCTCTATTTGCCTCATTTTTCCCTGACTATGAAATGGAGCTGAGTTGCCAGGGTCCTGCTGGAGGAAGAGCACACGTGGCATCTCTAGGGCCCTGGGGGAGGGGTGAGGTGTCAGTTCCCCATTGGTCTGGGACAGAAGCAGTTTCCACTGCACCCATGAGCATGTACATCTGCACCCCAACCACAGTGCATGCTCAGTGAGCTCACTCAGGAGGCCATGAGACTGTCACTGCCACTACTGCTGCTGTTAGGAACCTGGGCTGCCCCCAGGGGCCTTGGAGAAAAGGCCTGGCTCTCAGCCACTGCCCCACAGCTTGATGAGGAGGAGAAGTACTCAGCCCACATGCCTGCTCACCTGCGCTGTGATGCTTGCAGGGCCGTGTCCTATCAGGTGAGTCCTTCCCCTCCAGCAGTTCCCCCTGTCCCTACCCAGACCCCTCTATCTACCTCAGATTCCACCACTGGCCTTTAATCCTCAACCCCCATCACCAGGCATCAAGCCCAGACCCAGCCTTCCAAAAGATTGCAACCCCACATCACCTGAACCTCAGTTTACTCATCCGCCTGCCCAACAGAAAGCAGATGATCTGGGACGCCCCCACAGTATCCTGAGATACTGTTTAGCGAGGGAATTACTCATTTTCTTAGACTCCCTTTCAGACCCACCCTCAGGTCTGACTCCTTCCCCAAATCCACAGGGTGCCTTTTATATGTATATGTGGGGTACATATGTTGAGTGGATACATGTACAAATATGTGTGTCTCAGTGCACACTTGCCTCGTGGAGCATACTAACATGCCTCTGTGTGTGTGTGTGTGTGCACACACGCACGCATGCGCATGTTTATACACATGGCTTAGGAGTACATGTGTGTGTGTTTCTTTCTGCTTTCCTCATTCTTATGGTTTAAAATGGCATGTGCTATTGGGTAGATGTGCCCAAATGGCAGGGACAGTGCCTGGGCCTAAACTTCCATCTCAGTATTTCCATCCCCATCTCAGGGGAGTGGATGCTGCCTCCATTGGCCCAGTCCCAGCTTTGGGGACCTGGGGGATAAGTCCTGAAGCCTGCTTCACAGGTGCTTCCTGCTTGAACCGCTCCCTTGCCACATCATCCCCAGAGACTTGTGTTCCCCTCCTCCCCACCACTGACCTGCAGCCAACCCCCTGGCTCCTAGCCTCTCCATGTTCTAGATGTGGCAACATCTGGCAAAGGCAGAGGCCAAGCTTCATCATCCAGACTCCAGGGGGACACAGGGGCTGAGTGAGTCCATATACACAGACATCCTGGACCGAAGTTGCTCCCAGAACTGGCAGGAGTGAGTTGTCAATTTGGCCCCTGCCTCCCTCCTTCAGGAGCAGGGCTGGTGGGTGCAGATCCCCCTTCCACTCCCACCACACCCATATTCCTTGGGGGCTCTGGCCTGGCTTGAGGGAGGGGGCTGGGTACCATGAACCCTGGGCTATAGAGCTGGGAGCAAGTTCGAGACAAAATGGCCAACAGAAAGTCTCTGTGCAACCTTGAGCCAGGGTCTTTCCCTCTCAGCTCAAATGCCCAAGTGCCCAGCCTGTTATGGAAATAGGTCTTTCTCCCTGGTCTGGCTCCCACCAATGGTATATCCTTCCCCTTCCTGCTCACCAGCTATGGTATCCAAGAAGTGAACCAGGTGAAACATCTCACTGGCCCAGGTCTTAGCAAGGGGACAGAGCCAAGCATCAGTGTGATGATCACAGGAGGCCCCTGGCCCATCAGGTGATGATGGGGTGGGGGATGGGGTGGGGCTATGGGAGCCTTGGTCTGCCCATGACTTCCTTGTGGGCTGGGCAGAGTCCAAGTCTCCTACTGGGCTCCCGTAGGCTCTCTGAAACATGCTTTCACTACCTGGGAGAGTTTGGAGAAGACCAGATCTACAAAGCCCACCAACAAGGCCGAGGAGCTCTGGAGGCACTGCTGTGTGGGGGCTCCCAGGGGGCCTGTTTGGACAAGGAGACAGCCACAAGGAAAGAGCTCTAGTCCATCACTACTCCTATCCCTTAAAGAGAAGCTGGGACCGCCTCTGGACCTTTCCTGTTCTTTCTGCAGGCTGCCAGAGGGCAGGGAGGTGCTGCTGCTCTTTCCTCCTACACTCTGGGGCACTAGGGCCTGGGAGGGACATAGTCTTTCTCTGAACTCAAATAAAACCCAGTGATCTTAACTCCTGCCTGCAAAAGGTGTGTTGGGGGCTGGGAAGACAGACATTGGTATTTCTGCTGGTGTTCCTTCTAGAAAAGACCAAATAGACATCACTACAACTCCCTAGAGGTGTGAGAGCTGGCTTGGCTGGAAATATGAGTAAGCTATGAAAGGCCTATGGAACAGGGACAGCCCCGATCCTCAGCTTCAACAGGAGAGAAAGAAAATCAAGGAAACCACAGGCGGCCACCTTGTGGCCACATCTATGCATCTGCGCCATGCAATCTGTGCTGCTCCCAGAACAAGTCTCCTGTCAGGCTTGGTGGCACACCTACATAATCCCAGTGTCTCTGGAGGCTGAGGCAAGAGGATCTCAAAATTGAGGTCAGCCTCAGCAATTTTAGTAAGGCCCTAAGCAACTTACTAAGACCCTGTCTCAAAAAATAAAAAGGGTTGGGAATGTGTCTCAGAGATTAAGCACCCCTGGGTTCAGTTCCTGGTACCAAATAAACAAAAAACAAAGACAACAGAATATATCTTCTTGCTCTCTGCCTAGTGGCCCTTACTCTCTGCATTCTTCCATGGGCTGCAGCTGGGGTGATTGGGCCACAGTGCACACCTGAGCCAGGGCAGGATTCCTAGAACTAGCTGAGTCAGCATCTTGGCTCTCATACAGCTCTCTCTAGAAATTCTGGACAAGGGCCTTACCCTTCAGAAAGGAGCCTTGGGCCCCACCTGGGTATGGGAACCTGGGATCAGGTAGCAGTGGGACAGTGGTCCACTTTATGCTTTGAATGTAGCCCTTGATGCTCTGCCGCTGCAACTGATTCTGAAAAGGATGTTTCTTTCTCTTCCTCTCTCCCTGCTCCTCCCTAATCCCTCTCTCTCCCCCATCTCAGGGGAAACAGGATTACCTTTCTTGTCCATCCTAGGCAGAGTTATCTGTCCAAGTACACACCCACTACAGGAACAAGTAATTCACCGGAAGATCTCAGAAATGACTATCTCCCAAATTAACAAGTGAATTACAACTCTGATAACCCCTGATGGGCAGAATTACAACCTCTGGGACAGGAGTCCTCTTTGTTTCTCCTTTGCTAGCAAAGCAATGAAACTTCTTTTTCCTTTTTCTCAAAGCCATGTCCTCATTATTGGATTGGCATCAGGGACAAGGACTGAGCTTTCAGTAACAGCACTACAACTTACAGTTTCCCTCATGTTTCTGACCCACTGATGTCCTGGAAGATGGGCAGAACACACTCTAATCCCCATTGACAGATGCAGAAATTGAGATTTAGACAACAGAGGTTCAGGCCAAGTCCCAGGCCTAGTAGTGGTGGGGCTGTAAGAAGATTCAGATTTGGGGGGTAGGGTAAGCTCCACTCTAGAGGAATGGGGTGTCCCAGACACGCCCTGACCACTCCAGTTGCCCTGTGAGCCTCTCTGGAGCCCCAACTCCACACATCCCATCACCTGTTCCAGACTCTGCCTGGGGCCCCTTTTTTCCTGGCCCTTACCCCAGAAGAGATCGAACCCCCAGGCACTGGTTCCAGGGCCCAAGGAACTGGTGGAGCCAACAAAAATATAAAATGTGAATGTGGGTGGTTGCCTCTGAGAGGTCCACGACCCTGTGTTTTGGTAGGGACTGTGTGAGTCTGAGTGGTATAGGGCCATCTGGGCTACTATGCCTCAGGACATAGACAATAGTCCCACCAGTCAGGTGCCTTGAGGTGTGGTATCAGTTAAATTGAGTGTCCAAGGAGCTGTGCCTGCAGGGGGTGGAGGTGGAAAGGCCAGTCCTAAGGAGTTGCAGAGGTTCCAAACTAGTCAGACAACTTTAGGAACCTGGGAGCAGGAGCCAAGAGGAAGAGAAGCAGCAAGGTGGACAAAGGAATAAACTGAAGGAAAGACAGACAACCAGACTCAGGGCTACAAAATGAAGCTTTTGCCCAGCTGGAGAGCGGTGCTGCCTCTGGGCCCCTGGGGCCACGCCTGGCCATGGGCACAGCAACCCCCAAGTAGGTGCAACCTGGGGTGGCTAGGGATGGAGCAGACCAGAGGGAAGCATATGGGGATCCCAGGCCCACTCCCCATCAGCTTGGGCTCTAAGCTGGCACACCCCGCTTCCTCTCTGGCAGTCCCTAGACTTTTGGCTGGGTTGGGCTAGAAGCTCAGAAGGGAAATAGGTTGGGCACAGGACTGGCTTATGGGGTTGTGTGATATGGGCACATGGGGCCCAGTCCTTACAAAGACCCCATGCTCAGTTTAATTATCTGTTGTTGCTATATTAAGATTCCTAATACTCGGAGTTGGGCGCAATGGCCCATACCACTATTTCCTGAGATTTGGGAGGCTGAGGCAGGAGGATCACAAGTTTGAGGTTAGGTTAGGAAGGCCTTCAGCCTTAAGGAGACCCTGTCTCAAAATAAAAAATAAAGAGGAACCAGACACGGTAGCATATGCTGAGGCAGGAGGATTGTAACTTCAAAGCCAGCTTCAGCAACTTAGGGAGGCCCTAAGCAAGTTAGCTAGACTCTGTTTCAAAATAAAATATAAGAGGCTTGGGCTGGAGTTGTGGCTCAGCAGTAGAGTGCTCACCTAGCACATTCGAGGCCCTGGGTTGGATCCTCAGCACCACATAAAAATAAATAGACTAAAGGTATTGTGTCCACCTACAATTAAAAAATAAATATTAAAAAAAAGAGGCTGGAGTTGTGTTAGAGTTAGTGTTAGAGTGCTCACCTAACAGGTGCAAGGCACTGGGTTTGATCCTCAGCACCACATTAAAAAAAAAACAAATATATATATATATATATATATATATATATATATATATATATATGGGCTGGTGATGTGGCTCAGTAATTAAGTGCCCCTGGGTTCAATCCCCTGTACCATAGCTAACTAAATAAATAAATAAATAGAATTGAGAGGACTGGGAATGTAGCTCAGTGGCAAAGCACCCCTAGGTTAAATCTCTAGTGCCAAAAAACACAGGCTGCACAGACCTGTCTGCTACTGCCTCAAGATCCTGAGTGATGAAGGGCTGTAGAGACTGGACAGCTTCAGTCAACCTGAATTTTAGGGCTTGTTTTCTGAAATCTAGCTACCTGTGTGGCCTTGGTCATATTACTCTCTTGTATCCTGAGCCATGAAAGGGTTAATACACTGAGCCCCAGGGCATTCACGTGACAGTGCATATATATACAAAGGTATGGCTTGGCATGCAGTCATTCCTCAGTAATGAGAATGATTATGACAATGATGATAAGGGTTAACTTGTTATTAATTAATGGCAGAGCGTGACATCACAAGTGCCCATTTCCAATCCCTTTCCTCTCACCTCACCTGTGGTGAACTTCCAAGACTGTCCCTCTCTGGGAAACAAGCACAGGTCTCGTGCCAGGCTCAGGTGTGGGCAGGGAGGGGAGGGCCCAGGAGGCAAACGTGGCAGAGACTTGGGTGGCCTTTACCACCTAGCCAGGGTTAATATCTTACCTCTGCCCAGATCCCCCTTTCGCAATCTGGAGCTAGGGACCTGGTTACAGATTTACTTCGAACAATGTCTGATGCGTGGAGTAAAGTCCTTCTTGGCCTTCATAAAGTCATCCTCTTTTTCTCAGGAGCTTCTCAAACCTGTGCCCCAAACATGAGGGCTCAGACGGATCCCGAGGGCCGGACACAGGTGCTGGGGGATTGGGGGAAGCTGGGCAGGGGTAGGGTGAGTGGGGGCTGGAGGACCTGTATAGGCCTCTCTGGGAGGGCAGGGACAGAAATTCTGATGAACTTGATAACAAGTGACAGTCCCAAGCTGAATGTGGCAATAGGGAGATGGGATGGGATGGAGGGGGAGGTGAAGGAGCCTTTAATTTTGTAACTGGCTGGCTTGAGCTTGAGGGCCAGTAAGGACCCAGCCTCATTGTCAGCCATACCGTTAAGGACCTCCAGGAGCAGTGGTGGGACCAGAGTTGTTTCTCCACAGTTTCTTGCCCTCTGGGCTCCATCCCTAGTTCTTTAGGGGTCTTCTGACTTGGACCATCCCCCTGCTAAAATGTCCTTATCCTGAGGGCTCTCGGGGCCAGCACAGTGTATCCTGCCCCTGCAGGGACTGTGGGGGAGGGTGGGGAGACCCCAGGCCAGGGCCTCACTCTACATTGCTGACAGGCCACTCAGGTTACCTGATTGATTCTGGGACAGCCTGAATCTTGCCCACCCCATTATTCCACCTTGAGCTGCTTCTCTTTACTGCCCCAGCATGAGTCTCCGGGCTCAACAGGAAATTCCACCAGGGATCCACAGATGCCCCTGCCCACGGAGCCCAAATTTGACATGTTGTACAAGATTGAGGATGTGCCACCTTGGTACCTGTGTATCCTGCTTGGCTTCCAGGTAGGTTGTCCCCTCCCTGCCCTAGGGCCTCTCTGGCACTCCCCAAGTATCCCAGCCCCTCCCTGGCCAGCAAGGTTACCTTGGGTAAGAGGAAGAGAAAGCTAAGGTCAGCATGGTGACTGTCACCAAGCAGAAACACAGAAGACACAGAGAAGGCCTGAGAAAGGATTTTGGTGTCTACCAGGTTGAGAGTTGGTGGCAGGGAGGAGGGCCCAGACACAGGAACAACTTGGGGGAAGATTTAGTGACTCCCAGAGTGGGAATGCTTTGTGGGGAGTGTAATAGGGGGTGCACTGCCAGGGCACCGGGGTTCAGGCCCTGTGAGAAAGGCATGAGGACCTAGGGTGGCCCTTTCCCGTGAGCTCTGTAGGCCCTGCCTCATAATTCTTCTCTTGCCACTCACAGCATTACCTGACATGCTTTAGCGGCACCATCGCTGTTCCCTTCCTCCTGGCCGAGGCACTGTGTGTGGGCCAAGACCAGAACATGATCAGCCAGCTCATCGGCACCATCTTCGTATGTGTGGGTATTACCACTCTCATCCAGACCACACTGGGCATCCGGTAAGCTGCCTCGGCCCCCAACACACACACACACACACACACACTCTGTGACACACAGGACCAATTGGTCTCCCTCAGAGGGCTTTTATGGACCAAAAAAACCTAACCACTTCAGGCCCTACCTGCCAGTCCTACCCCTGGGCCAGCCACAGAGCCAGGCATCAGGGCTTCTACTCTGAATTTAGGGAACTTGCTCTGGGGCTCCTCAAGAACAGAGTCTGTAGGCTTAAGGAATGTGCCCTACCTGGGTTCACCTCCTCTTAGGCTCTACTTTGCTCAGGACCACTCACCTCTGTGTCCCAAGGGCATGAGCCGGCTTCGAGCTGCTGTGTGGGCTGGGAGCCTCTGTCCCAATGCATAGTCCTAGGCCAGGATGGCAAAAAGATGGCTGGGAGGGGGCTGGGGATGTGGCTCAAGCGGTATCGTGCTCTCCTGGCATGCATGCGGCCCGGGTTCGATCCTCAGCACCACATACAAACAAAGATGTTGTGTCTGCCGAGAACTAAAAAATAAATAAATATTAAAAAAAAAAAAAAAGATGGCTGGGAGGTGGCTGGGGGAAGGTGGTAAGTACATCTCTGATGCCAGAACTAAGATGTCCACTTGCGTCAGGCTGGCCCTCACAGTGAGGTGTAGGTTTGGAGCTGGGGGAGCCTGTTGTCTTTTTTCTTTGTTAGAGACTGTTAGTGGCCCTAATCGAATCCCAGTTACTGGTGGTAGGGAGCTGAGGCAGGAGGATCATAAATTCAGGCCAATCTCAGCAACTTCATGAGACCCCATCTCAAAATAAAAATTAAAAGGGACTGGGGATGTTACTCAGTGGTAAAGCACCCCCAGGGTTGAATCTCCAGCAACATCCCCCGCCAAGAAAAGAAAAAAAATGTTAAAGTCCTGCATGGGGTCTCAATGACTTCCCTCTGCCCTCCCCTTTCCTTGTCCCTCGGTGTCCCTGGGCCTCTCTATGTCTCTCCTGCCACCCCACCTCACCCTTCTGCTCTGCTCTCTCCTCCAGGCTGCCACTGTTCCAGGCCAGTGCCTTTGCGTTTTTGGTTCCAGCCAAAGCCATCCTGGCCCTGGAGAAATGGAAATGTCCCCCAGAAGGTGGGCACATGTTTTGGATCTGGGTTGAAAGAGAGGGGAGGCCCAGGGATCTGGAAGTCTGAGCAAATATCCTGAGTTCAGACACCAAGATGTGTTCATGGCAACATCTTCTTCCCCTGTCCATCTTTTGTCCATGTCATGTCCCTGACCACAGAGGAGATCTACGGTAACTGGAGTCAGCCCTTGAACACCTCTCATATCTGGCACCCACGGATGCGAGAGGTGGGTAGAGGATGCTAGGACCTGGGGAGGGGGCTAGATGGCAGTGAGGGCCACTGCTATGTTGGGGGATTTGAAGAGGTAATCTTGGAACTTTTGTCCTGCTGGTAGCCATGTCATGACCTTTACATAATGACATATAGCTCATTTTGCCCTTCTAGGTCCAAGGTGCAATCATGGTGGCCAGTGTGGTGGAGGTGGTGATTGGGCTGATGGGGCTGCCTGGGGCCCTGCTCAGCTACATTGGGCCTCTCACAGTCACCCCTACTGTCTCACTCATTGGCCTGTCTGTCTTCCAAGCTGCTGGTGATCGAGCAGGCTCCCATTGGGGCATCTCAGCTTGGTGAGCAGGTGCCAGGCCTGATCCTGTCCAAACCCAGCCCTCACCCTCCCACCCCTTTATGTCCTACTGCCTTAGTCCTGTCTCCTGGCCCCAGTGGAGCCTACCAGCTACCTCCTCCTTTGCCTCTGCCCCTAGCTCCATTCTCCTGATCATCCTCTTCTCCCAGTACCTGCGCAATGTCACCTTCCTGCTGCCCATCTACCGCTGGGGCAAGGGCCTCACTCTCTTCCGAATCCAGATCTTCAAGATGTTTCCCGTAAGGAGGGGCTGGGACTAGAACAGGGGCTTGACCTGTGCCAGGGCCAAGGTGGGAGCAAAGCGGGAACGGTGTAGGCACTAGAGCCAGAGCAGAGATGAGGTGCTACCCAGAGGCTGTGGCAGGTTTGGGGCTGAAGTCAGCAGGGGCTGGGCCTGGTGCTGGGCTGGGCTGGGCTGGGCTGGGCTGGGGCTAAAGTAGAAGCAGGTTAGCTCGGAGGGAGGTTTCCAGTTCCTGCAGTGCACCTCTTAACATTCCTGTTTCAGATCGTGCTGGCCATCATGACCATGTGGCTCCTCTGCTACGTGCTGACCCTGACAGATGTGCTGCCTAAAGACCCAACAGCCTATGGCTACCAGGCACGAACTGATGCCCGTGGAGACATCATGAGTATTTCACCCTGGATCCGCATTCCATACCCCTGTAAGCAACCCCACTTGGGTCCCCTTTGCTTCCAACTCAGACACTTGTGAGACCCCTGATGATGCTGATGGCACAAGCCACACGTTTATAGTGGGCCAAGTAACGGTGTTTTTTTTTTTGTGTGTGTGTGTGTGTGCGCGCGCGCGTGTATGTGCTGGGGGTTGAACCCAGGGCCTTGTGCATGCGATGCAAGTACTCTATCAACTGAACTATATCCCCAGCCCAGTAACAGTATTTGACTCAAAGCTTCACTACAACTCCATGCATCTGGATGACCCAAATAAGCTCCTGTTCTTGCTTAAGACAACCCAGTGCTCCCTCTCCCTCTCAAGTACTGCCCTGTCCTGCCAACCCACCACAGGCTCCTCAGTGTATTCATCCCCCTGTCTTCCCGCAACCCAGGTCAGTGGGGCCTGCCTACAGTGACTGTGGCTGCTGTGTTGGGAATGTTCAGTGCCACACTGGCAGGCATCATCGAGTCCATTGGTGATTACTATGCTTGTGCCCGCCTGGCTGGTGCACCACCCCCTCCAGTGCATGCTATCAATAGGTATGCTTATTGGTCTTCCTCAATGTCTGATGCTTCAAGGAGCCACTCAGGGTAGGGATGGGGTTGAGTCCCAGAGATGCAGACTTGGGCAAGTCACTAATACCTCCAGACCTCATAGTCCTTGCTTATGAAATGGGAAAGAGCTCATCACCCAGTGATTGAGGAGATAAGGGAGTTCCAGGGAAACCACAGTCACTGACAACCTTCCGGTATGTTCAGCCCTCCATGTGCATGCTCTTATGTAATCTGCTAACCATTCTGTGAGTCAGGGACCATTACCAAGTCCATAGTACCGATGAGGAAACTGAAGCCCAGAATTATCCAAGGGAGTAAGTGCCAGGGCATTGGAACTAGCTCCTGTACCAGGGTTTCTAGTCCCCAGACTCCCTCTGGCCTGGAGTGGGGAGTACTAGGGACAGATCCACAGCTCACAGCCCGGGGGTGGGGCGGGCAGCCGGCCCGTGTGATAAGAGGACACGAGCTGTTGAAGAGGCTGGACCAAGTCTCCAATCTTCCTTTCCTTACAGGGGTATCTTCACCGAAGGCATCTGCTGCATTATCGCGGGGTTACTAGGCACAGGCAACGGGTCCACCTCGTCCAGTCCCAACATTGGCGTCCTAGGGATTACCAAGGTGCGGTACCACCCACAACAGCCCAAAGCAGGCTTCTGGGTTCCTGGTGCCGGAAGCCCCGCCCCAAACCCGTCCCCACTTTGGCCTAGCCCCTCCCTATCCTTGAAAAGCCTCGCCCCCACGCCAAGACCCAGCCCATTTATGCCTAGTTCTTATAACAGGCCCCGCCCCCTGGACTAACCCCACCCCAGCCTCGCCCCCACGTCTAGCCTCGCCTCTGGATTCCTGGCAGGTGGGCAGCCGTCGCGTGGTGCAGTACGGTGCCGGTATCATGCTGGTCCTGGGTGCCATCGGCAAGTTCACAGCTCTCTTTGCCTCGCTCCCCGACCCTATCCTGGGGGGCATGTTCTGCACCCTTTTCGGTGAGTGTCCCGCGCGGGCCCCGGGGGCGCGGCGCGGGTGGCTAAGTGGTGGCACCCACTGAGGCGCGTGAGGCGCCTTTAGCCTTTTTACTGTGACCCCCAGGTATGATCACGGCTGTGGGGCTCTCCAACCTGCAGTTCGTGGACATGAACTCCTCCCGCAACCTCTTTGTGCTTGGATTTTCCATGTTCTTCGGGCTCACACTGCCCAACTACCTGGATTCCAACCCTGGCGCCATCGACACAGGTGCCTACAGGCTGTCTACTGACTCCAGAGGTGTGGGAGCGGGGTGGGCGCAAAACTCGGAGCACATGGGCTGGGAGTGTAGTTCAGTGTTAGAGTGCTTGCTTAGCATGCACAAGGTTCTGGATTTGTTTCCCCAGCACAAGACAAAAAACAAAAACCTGTGAGCACAACCCCCTCCCTCAAGGGCTCCACACAGGTAGAACCACAAATCAATCCTTTCCAACTCTGGATGCTAATCAGCAGCTGAGAGACTATTAGCAGCTGTCCCTGACTAAAACACTTTCTGTAGATAGATACTGAGCTTTACATGTGCTCATTTAATTTTCAGAACGGCTCAAGACAGATACCACTATCATCTCTGCTTTACAGATGACAAACATGAGGCTCAGAGAGCTTTGGTTCCAAGTCAACAAATAGCAGCTGGCAGAACTGGGATTTTTTTTTTTTTTTTACATGTTGATGGGCCTTTATTTTATTCATGTATTTATATGTGGTGCTGAGAATCAAACCCAGTGCCTCACACATGCTAATTTTTAAAAATATTTTTATTTTTTTATTTTTATGTGGTGCTGAGGATCGAACCCAGTGCGAGGCAAGTGCTCCACCACTGAGCCACAACCCCAGCCCTCACACATGCTAATTTTTTAAAAAATTATTTATTTATTCAGAACTGGGATTTAAACCCAAAGATGGGAGAGATGGGTAAAGATAGGCTTGAAAGTTAGGACTTTGTGCCATTCCAATGTCACAACTGCTCAAGGAAGTCAGTAGGGTGCAGAAGTAGGACACCCCAGGTTCTGCTCTCCAGAGGGGCCATGACGCCCTTTGGTCCTTGACCTATTCCACAGGCGTTCCTGAAATCGACCAGATTCTGACTGTGCTGCTGACCACCGAGATGTTTGTGGGCGGGAGCCTTGCTTTCATTCTGGACAACACAGTGCCAGGTATGGGTCAGCCCTTGGAGGGCAGTGCAGAATGCTAGACTCATACTTACTTCAACAGATGCCCCTGAGCCAAGATGTGGCCAGGTCTGATGTCACACAAGCCCTGGAGGGAGTAGCAGGAACGGATGGTCTGGTGGACTGCCTGCTGGCTGAGAGGAGAGGAGGCACAGACAAGGCTCATTGGCCTTGAAAAAGCCCAGACCAGTTGTTATTTTTGGATCTTGCAAGTCTTTTCCTCATTATTTCTTCTTTTTTTTTTTTGGTGGGGGGCTATACCCAGGATTGAACTTAGGGGCACTCGACCTGAGCCACATCTCCAGCTCTGTTTTGTATTTTATTTAGAGACAGCATCTCACTGAGTTGCTTAACACCTTGCCTTTGCTGAGGCTGGTTTTGAATTCATGATCCTCCTGTCTCAGCCTCCCAAGACACTGGGATTATAGGAATGTACCACCATACCCAGCTCCTCACTATTTCTTGATAGCCCCTGGGCTGAGGCATGTCTTTGCTTTCATAGAGTTGAACTGGTGTAAATGCAGCATCCGTTTTTAGCAGCCTTCCCCATGGGCTAATAGAGGAGCCTCCAACATGTCCCTTTGGTCCCAGAGCTTTTGGCAGGGATTATGGAAACTTCATGGTGTCCCTGTACACATGTACCCAGTAAATGTATTAAAAAAACTGAATGTCATTAGGTGCTGTAATAAGCACAGTTACAATTTAATGAACATCTACTATGTGTCAGGCATGTAATTAAATGTTTCATGTCGTCCTTTAAAGATGTAACTGTGCCAGGCGTGGTGGAACACACCTATAATACCAGTGGCTCTGCAGGCTGAGGTAGGAAGTTCAAGACCAGCTTCAGCAATTTAGTGAGGCTCTAAGCACTTCATTGAGACCCTGTTTCAAGAGAAAAAAATAAAAAGGGCTGGGATGTGGCTCAGCGGGTTCAATCCCAGTACCAAAAAAAAAAAAAAAAAAAAGACACAAGTCCTGCCTGTCTCATCTCTCTGCAGACGCATTGGTAGCACATAGTAATCAGACGCTGTGCTTAGTTCGTGGGTCACAGGGGAGGGTGGGGGGAAGGACCAAGGATCCTCAGTGAATTTTGGGTAGAATCAGAGGGAGCTTTTGGTAGTAGCTGTCTGTCCCTTAGATAGATGGGCATGTACCTGACCATGACACTTCCCTTCCCATTCAGCAGACACTGGAGCAGCCCAGCCTGTGATTCTGAGATAGTGAAATGGCAGCCTAGGGAATCTAGGGAGATGGAGGGCCACTGGGTGGGCGGCTATACACGTAGAGGCTTTTTTTTTTTCTTTTTTATATGATCTGGGTGGCTAAAGTTATCCAGATGTCTAACAATAGCTTCGGAACTGCCTCACACTCCAATCTTTCAACCCAGCTGAACTTCAGCAACCATCCTTGCCAGGGATTATAGGCAATATGCCACATAATCTTCAACAGTCCTTCAATGTGCATTGATGAGGAATATGAAGCTTAGGGTGGTGAAGTCACTTGCCTGCGGTCACAACCTGCATTCAAACCCAGGTCTGCATGGCTCAGAACCCAGTCCTTAATCATGGAAAAGCACAGCTTTCTCCAGTCCTTAATTTGCAGATGAGCCATCTTGCATTCTCTCTCTCTCTCTCTCTCTTTTTTTTTTTTTTTTGTGTGTGTGTGTGGTGCTGGGGATTAAACCCAGGGCCTTATGCATTTGAGGCAAACATTGTACCAACTGAGCTATGTCCCCAGCCCCATTTGCTTTCTCTTTATCTATCCACAGTCCAACCGTAGAAGATATTGTAGTTTAGCAAATGCTGGTGGAGCTTAGCAGCTTGGCCTGAATCAGACAAAGGAGGATGTGCAGAGCAATATTGAGTCACATTTTTTTAATGTCCTAAAGATTCTTTTATTGAATTAATTAGAAAAAGAAATTAAGGAGTGCAAAATGAAAACAACCCTAGTTTATAATGGAGATTTTCATAAAAATGTGACTTTGGGCTGGGGCTGGAGCTCAGCGGTAGCGCACTTACCTGGCATGTGCGAGGCACTGGGTTTGATTCTCAGTACCACATATAAATAAATAAAAATAAAGATCTATCAACAATTTAAAAAAATTTTAAAAATGTGACTTTGATGACCTCTTGAGTTGGTCAGAGGAAGAAACTTAGCACAGGCTCTTCTATGTCAACTCCAAATTTATACTTTCTCAGTCTTTATTATTATTGGTGCATTATAGTATGGTATTGTGACATGTTCATACATGCACATAATTTGGTCAATTTAATTCCCCAGTATTTCCCTTTTTCCTCTGCTCTTCCCACTTCCCAGTCTCCCCCCCACTTCAATTTTCATGAGATTACCCCACTTTTTTTTCCCTCTTTTTCTCTCTAGTTCTACCTAAGAGATAACATTCAACCTTTGACTTCCTAAGTTTGGCTTATTTCACTTAATATAATACTCCCAAATTCTATCCATTTTCCTAAAATAACAAAAGACAGTTTTGTTCTTACGGCTGAATATAATTGTGTGTGTGTATGTATATATATATGTGTGTGTATGTATATGTGTGTGTTGTGTGTGTATTTTTTATTCATTCATTCATTTTATCCATTCATCTATTGACACCTAGGCTGGCTCCATAAGTTGGCTATTGTGAAATGCATTGCTATAAGCATGGGTTGCTGGTGGCTTCATTCCTAGTCTTTTTTTTTTTTTTTATTTTGTTTTGTTTTACCCTTGAAGTACTAGGGATTGAACTCAGGATTTCATGTATGCTAGGCAAGTGCTTTACCATGCAGTCACATCCCTATTCTTTTGAGGAAGCTCCAAATTAATTTCCATAGTGATTATATTGGTTTACAATCCCATCAACAGTGTTTAAGTGTTCCTTTTATCCCACATCTTTGCCAGCATTTATTTGTATTCTTTTTTTAAAATATTTTTTTAAATTTATTTTTTTGTTTTAGGTGGACACAATATCTTTATTTTTATGTGGTGCTGAGGATTGAACTCAGTGCCCCATGCATGCCAGGCGAGCACTCTACCACTGGGCCACAACCCCAGCCCCTTATTTGTATTCTTAAAGATTGCCATTATAACTGGAATGAGATGTCAATTTAGTTTTTCTTTTTTTGGTACCAGGGTACTTAACCACTGAGCCACATTCCCAGTTCTTTTTTTTATTTTATATTTTGAGACAAGATCTCAATAGATTGCTTACAACCTAGCTAAATTGCTAACCCTGGCTCCGAACCTGCAATCCTCCTATCTCAACCTCCTGAGTTGCTGATTACAGGCATGCACCACCACACCTGACTCAATGTAGTTTTTCTTCTTTAATATTTATTTTTTAGTTGTAGATGGACACAATACCTTTATTTTATTTTTTATGTGGTGCTGAGGATCAAACCCAGGGCCTTGCATGAACTAGGCAAGTGCTCTACCGCTGAGCTACAACCCCAGCCCTCAATGTAGCTTCGATGTGCATTTCCTTAATTGTTAGATGTTGAATTTTTTTTCCTTTATTTGTTGGCCATTTCTATTTCTTCTTTCAAGAATCTGTTTAGTTCATTTGCTCACTTGCTGATTGGGATTTTTTGGTGGTAAGTGTTTTGCGTTCTTTATATGTTCTGGATATTAATTGTGTCAGAGGAATAACTGGGGAAGGTTGGTTTTCTCCCTTTCTATAGGCTCGCTCTTCATGTTTGTTTACTTTGCTATGCAGAAGCTTTGTGTGTGTGTGTGTGTGTGTGTGTGTGTGGTACCAGGGATTGAACCTTGGAGTGCTTAATCACTGAGCGGCATCCCCAGACCTTTTATATATTTTATTTAGAGACAGAGTCTTGCTGATTTGCTGCTTAGGGCCTCGCTAAATTGCTGAGGCTGGCTTTGAACTCACGATCCTCCTGCCTCAGCCTCCTTAGGTGCTGGGATTACAGATGTGTGCCACTGAGCACAGCCAATAGTTTAATTTGACGCCATCCCATTAATTAATTCTTTGCATTATTTCCTAAGCTTTAGGGGACTTGCTGAGGAAGTCTTGCCTGTGTTTGTTGGGGAAGGGGCATAAAAGATCTCAGGTTTTACTGGGTACGATGGCACACACCTGTAATCCCAATGGCTGGGGAAGTTAGGGCAGGATAGCAAGTTCAAAAGCCAGCCTCAGCAATTTAGTGAGGCACTTAGCAACTCAGTGAGACCCAGTCTCTAAATAAAATATATAAAAGGGCTTGAGATGGGGCTGGGGTTGTAGCTCAGTGGTAGAGTGCTTGCCCAAGATGTGTAAGGCACTGGGTTAGATTCTCAGCACTGCAAATAAATAAATGATTAAAATAAAGGTCCATCAACATCTAAAAAAACGTTTTGTTTTGTTTTTTTAAAAAAAGGTCTGGAATGTGGCTCAGTGGTTAAGCGACCCTGAGTTCAATCCTCAGTACCAAAAAATAAATAAAGATCTCAAGTTTTTATAAAAGGGCTGGGGGGTTGACTAAAACTGAAATACTGTAAAACTTGCCAAAGGAGTGAGGTCAGCCTAGGCTCAAACAATCCATCTGTATCACAAACCAAACGTGTTCCCAAGTCAGCAGAGGGCACTGAAGGAATGCTGGGGTGTTGAGTCTATATTGGAGGGTTTACCCTATTTTCTTTTAGCAGTTGCAAAGGTCACAGTTTGTTTTGAAGAGCTCCTAACACAAGATGGGAGGTAAAACTGGATTAATTAAGCAATAATCAGTGAGGCTGGGCTGGAATCATTTGCAGGGACTTCTAGATAAGGGAATCTACAGCCCAGGAAAAGAGGTTGAAGCAGAAGAGAAGGCAGAGCAGTAAAGCAGTGGAGGAGGCTGACCAGTTTGTCAGAGGGAGAGAGCTTCAGGCCCAGCCAGCTGTTAAGTGTCCTGCCAGGGGAGAAACATTGGGACCATCATCCTGTTCATGCCTATGCCTTTTCTCTGGTCATCTGTGCTCTTTGGCTTGTGCAGCCAGACCCAGTTCCAAAAGATCCTTCTCCTGGAAGTCTTTCCTGAACCCCAGCACTCCTTCAGAGCCCTTTCTGCCAATTTTGGGACACATCTGGTTTGTGACTTTATGGGTTATTCTCAGCCTGGAGTGACCTCACTCTGTTGGCTAGATTTATAGTATTTCAGGTTTTGTCAGCCGCCAGCCCTTTTATGAAAACTTGAGCTATCATGTGCCCCTCCCCCACAGGAGACTTCCTTAGTTGCAAATGCATCCCTAACCCCATCATAGATTTTGCTTAGTTTGACCTTCTGAAGTTTATGTGTAAAAACAAGATTTTCCAAAAATGTGGAATCCTAAATTAATACTGATTATAGTATTTCAAAATATACTTCTCTACCCAAGAGTACCACCTTAGCAACATCTGGTGAGGACCCAGCACACACCATCCCCATACTAACAGATGTAAGTTCACAATTATTTAACCTGTTTCTCCATCTTAAAAGTCTGTGTAACACTTCCTACGTTTTTAAGAAATGAGATAATGAAATTACAGCACTTAGCAAAGAGTCTGGCACACTGTAGTTACGTATTACCAACTAGCTTTAGAGATCTCAAGAGTTCTGGCAAAGCTTAGGAGCTCAGAAATCATGGATTTAGCAACGTTTTAGTATCGGAAGATCTGGGGGCTGAGGGTGTAGCTCAGTGGTAGAGCGCTTCCCTAGCATGTGCAAGGGCCTGGGTTCAATTCCAGCACCACGGGAACTGGGGGCATACAGACACATTCACATATTTGATTCACAAGGCTGACTTACTACTAGGTTATGGAAAGGGGAGGTAGTAGAGGGTTGCTGCCTGTGGTGAATGATCTTATTTTCCCTTTCTAGGGAGTCCAGAGGAACGAGGCCTGATACAGTGGAAAGCTGGGGCCCATGCCAACAGTGAGACATCTGCCAGCCTGAAGAGCTATGACTTTCCCATTGGGATGGGTACAGTAAAAAGGATTGCTTTTCTGAAATACATTCCTGTCTGCCCAGTCTTCAAAGGATTTTCTTCAAGGTCAAAAACTCAGTCTTGTGTTCCAGAAGACATTCCAGAAAATACAGAAACTGGGTCTGTGTGCACCAAGGTCTGAACATTACTTCGAAAAAAGGTAGGAAGTCTCTATGGTTTTTGTGGGAAGGTTGAACAAAACATTCTTAGGTTTCAACAAAAGAAAACCCAAACTATTAAGTTCCCATTTTTATGACCTATTTGAGGATCTTCAAGGGAAAGGTGGACTAAAGTCAACATATGGGCTGGGCGCAGTGGTTCATGCCTGTAATTCCAACAGCTCAGGAGGCCGAGGTAGGAAGATCACGAGTTCAAAGCCAGCCTCAGCAAAAGCCAGGTGCTAAGCAACTCAATGAGACCCTGTCTCTAAATAAAATACAAAATAGGGCTGGGGATGTGGCTCAGTGATCGAATGCCCTGTATCTTCCCCCAAAATAAAGTCAATATATGGATTCTGGACCGAATTCCATAGCCATTTTGGGACTTCTCAACTTTTTCAGGTAACTAAATTGGTATAAGTATGCTGAAATATTAATCTTCCCACATACTTAGCAGAATTCTAGGCCAACCACAGTCCATGAGCCAACTGGGCAGCCTCATTCTTGAACTCCAGTGAGCTAAACAAATACCTGACGTTTAACATGGGAAAGGCTGAAGTATTGAGAGAGCAAACCAACAGGAAAAAAATCTTCTCATCTATTCTATCCTGTTTCAATACTGGTCATATAATTAAAACCATCTAAAAAGGATGATGTCAGCCTAAAACTATGCTAGTACAATCCCTGGTGAGATTATCATTTGTCCCTAGGACTTGAAAATGTGTGGTAGCTGATACTCTGAAACTCTCTCAGAGTATGAAATGCAGGTATGAAATGCAGATGTTAGGCTCTTATTTAACTGGCATGTTCCTTCATACTGACAAGCTGAGCCTAGACATTTTTTTTTTTTTTTTTTTTTTTAAATATAGTGTTGGGGATGAACCTAGTCTTTGCACATGATATACCACTGAGCTACATCCACAGCCTTAGACTCTTTTAAAATTTTTTAGATTAAAAAAAATTTTTTTTAGTTGTAGATGGACACAATACCTTTATCTTTATTTATTTTTATGCAGTGCTGGGGATTGAACCCAGAGCCTCAAGCATGGTAGACAAGCACTCACCAACTATGGTGGCACACAACTGCAAACCCAGTGACTTGGGAGGCTGAAGCAGGACTGCAAGTTCAAGGCCAGCTTGCAAGACCCTGTCTCAAAAAAAAAAAAAAGAAGGCAGCTGGGGATGTAACTCAGCGGCAGAGCACTTGCTTACCATAAGCAAGGAATTAGGTTCCATCCCCAGTGCCAAAAAATGAACAAAATAGTCACGTAATCCAGAGAGATATTGTTATTCCCAGATTGAGTATCAGAATTGTTTCAGATTGCGGTTTTTCAGATTCTGGAATATTTGCATCAAATTTTTTGGTTAAGACAGGTGAGGTGGCACATGCCTGTAACACCAGTGGCTAGGGAGGCTGAGACAGGAGGATCTTGAGTTCAAAGCCAGACTCAGCAGCAGAGAGGCGCTAAGCAACTCAGTGAGACCCTGTCTCTAAATAAAATACAGAATAGGGCTGGAGATGTGGCTCAGTTGAGTGCCTATGAATTCAATCCCCACTACAAACACACACACACATACACACACACACAGTATTTTTTTTCTTGGTTAAGCACCCCTCATCTGTAAATCTGAAATCCAAAATGCTCTGAAATCCAGAATTGCTTAATCCCCAACACCAAAAACTCAAAATGATTTGAATCCCCAACTTTTTAAGTGTCATGTCAGCATTTTAGAGATATGGAAACAAAGTTACAGAAAGGTTAAATGATTTGCACATGATCACAGGATTTGCATCCACAAAGTAAGCCAGAATCTTTTTTGTTGTTGTTGTTGTTGTTGTGGGGCGGGGGTTTGGAAGAACCGGCGATTGAGCCCAGGAACACTTTACCACAAGCTATATCCCCAATACTTTTTTACCTTTTTTTTTTTAATATTTATTTTTTAGTTGTAGTTGCACGCAATACCTTTATTTTATTTATTTCTATGTGGTGCTGAGGATCCATCCCAGGGTCTTGCACATGCTAGGTTAGTGCTCTACCACTGAGCCACAACCCCAGCCCCACTTTTTACTTTTTACTTTAAAACAGGGTTTTGCTGAGTTGCTTAAGGTGTCAAACCCGTGATCCTTTTGCCTCAGCCTCTACAGTTGCTGGGATTACTTACTGGTATGCACCACCATGAAGTAGAATTTTTTTTTCCTAATCATTAGGTTACAGTGCCTTTCTAATTGGTGCAAATTATACTGCACTGTAATAATTAGGAAGTATATGGAAATGAACTTACCTGCCCTTGTCTAAGCTCAGAGACACAGGACTAGTAAGATTTATGTATTTGGCAGGTAGCCATGCCTCTTAGTATATACTGAGTTGTTAAGAAACAGAGAGGACAGTTGTATCATGGCACCAAAAAGAAGTCAAGAATAATTATTTGTTTCAGAGATTCTTCAAAAAACACCTGTTTATTAAGGTAACTATTAAGCTAGGAGCAGTAGTGCTCACCTATAATTCTAGCAACTTAAGAAACTAAGGCAGAAAGATCACAAGTTGAAGACCCACTTGGTAATTAAGTGACTACCTATCTCCAAACAAAAAAATAAAAAGATCTTGGGATGTAGTTAAATGGTAAAATGCCTCTGGGTTCAAACCCTAGTCCTAACAAAAAAGGAGTCATCAAAAATGCGACCCCAAGGCTAAAGGTATGGCTCAATGGTAGAGCCCTTGCCTAGCATGTGTGAGGCACTGAGTTGGATTATCAAGCACACATAAAAATAACCACAAAGGTTCACTGGCAGTGGCACATGCATGTAATCCCAGCAGCTCGGGAGACTGAGGCAGGAGGATCGAGAGTTCAAAGCCAGCCTCAGCAAAAGCCAGGTGCTAATCAACTCAGCAAGACCCTGTCAGTAAATAAATTACAAAATAGGGATGTTGAAGTGGGCTTAGGGGTTGAATGCCCCCGAGTTTAATCCCCAGTACCAATACAATTAAAGGTTCACCCACAGTTTTTGTTTCCCAATATCTTTGTCTTTATTCATTTTTATGTGGTGCTGAGGATCAAACCCAGTACCTCCTATGTGCAAAGCAACACTCTGCCACTGAGCACAACCCCAGCCCTCACCCACAGCTTAAACCCCCCACCCCTCGCGCGCTCACACAGTGGTGCACACCTATAATCCCAGCAATTTGGGTGGTTAAGGCAGGAGGATTTCAAGTTTTGTAAGTTCAAGGTAAGCCTCAGCAATTTAGCAAAGTCCTAAGCAACTTAGCAAGACTGTCTCAAAAAAAATCAAAGGGGTGGAAATGCAGCTCAGTGGTTAAGTATTTCTGGTTTAAATCCACAGTACCCCCCCAAAAAAAAAATACCCTCATTGGGGCTTTTTGTGAGAAGTGAAACCCCTAGGTTGTATCCCCAGCACTTCAGGGTGTGAGGAAAGATTACTGGTGTCTCCTCATAAAGAATATGAGCCAGACATGACTACATGGCCCTTCTTCCTAATTTCTGGTCCAATAATCTCAAGAAAAAATTTTTAGAAGGGTGTATGAGATTTACTGAGATTATACTATAGTAAGGTCACCATTGTATTGGTCAGTCATAATTCTTTTCTTTTTGTGGTGCTGGGATTTGTGCCCAAGGCAATAACTCTACAATTGAACTACATCCCCAGTCCAGTCATAGTTTCATTTTAAAATGGCTGCTTATGAATGTCTTTACATTGCAGTCTTGGGCAATAAAAAGCAAGGACAAGGGAATAGGGTTTATTTTAGTGCTGTACTGACAGATATTTATATAGCAACATACTTGCTACTATGATTCTAAAAAATCCTTCTCTAAGCACATTTTGCCGACAGGGTTGTCCTGAGGTACTGGGCCCATACTCAAGTGAATATCACCCTGGAGAGTCTGCAGTCTAGCATCAATAAACACAAGCATCAGCTCAGTTCTACAATTATTTATTTTTTTAAATATTTTTGAAAAAATATAATTTTTTTACAATATTTTCAACTTAAACACTATTCACACTGAACACGTATGGCAGCTTAACCTACTCAAATATGAAGTTTAAGAAGCCAAAACTGTTCTAGCTTTGTTAAAAGAAAAGTTGTGCTGCAGACTATTGTCGTGATGGGTAACAAAGCAAGGAAAAGCACCACTCAAATTATGTTGCAAATCTCTTTGTTCAATTGGGTTATGGGTTTCTATTGGTCCTAAGTTAGACTTCACACAGGTATGAATGGCTGTGATGCAGTGACTCCTCAAGAGATGCAATTCTCAAATCACATACTTCCTCAAATGTAACATTAGGAACAAAATTCGACATTTCTAACATGATAACATACCAGAAAAGCCAGGACTAGCTCTTACCTGATCACTACCTTGTGTAAGCTTAGTCATTAAAGACATACTTGTCTCTAATGAACTATTTTTAAATTAACAGACCTTCTTCAGAAAAATTAGATTCTTTTTGATGACGACAAATAGAACTGAGAAATCTGCTTAGCAATTAGGACTTAATTTAAATTTACTCATTTTACAAACTGTCAACATCAACAAATGTTAGTTAATCCTAAGGGACCAGTTTAGCCTCAAAGACAACAATTCAGTAAGATTTAGAGGTCATTTAATTTGGTGCTTTGTTACAACTTGACTGGTGCTTCTTTCCTTGCTGTCTTTACATTAAGCCATGGGGCCAATTCTATTTTTCAGTAAATGTTTGACAGGTTTTTACTTAATAACAGTCTCAGCACTTTTATTAAGCATGCAAGACTAACAAAAACTTTGGCAATGCATAAGTGTAACACAGTGACAAGAGAGAGCTTTTACAATTAAGTCTTCTAATACTGCCTTCACAGTGTGGAAATTGTGCTACATCCACCAAAAGAGGGCCCCGTCTACTCAAATATTTTAGTACTTCACCCCAGGAACAAACTCCTTTGCATTTGGATTCAGATTGCTCTTGACCTGGAAAAAAAGTACATAAAAAAAGCAAGTTCATTACAGATGG